TAAATTAAATTATAATAAAAAATAAATTAAATTATAATAAAAAAATGAAAACTTTTAAATAGTTAATTTGATATTAACATTGATATATATTTTTTTCAAATTTTTATGATATCTTTAAGTTTATATTTAATTCAAAAATAAAATCATTATTGTTTTCTTAAAAACACAAGAATCGTATTGCAACATCGACGAAGAGAAATAATAAAATAGAACATTAAAACCGAGATGTGTCATCGTTGCATTGCGCGAGTACTTTTTTAGTATTATTAAAATATTTTATTTATCTAAGATATCTCTCTGTAAAATTTATTTTTAAAGTTTTCTATTGGTGGAAATAATATTAAAAAACAATTCTCTTACGTTGTAATCGTGTTTTTGGTAGGGGTGAATATGGTATGGTACCATGCTTTTTTCTCATATATTATATACCAACTTAACCAATTATAATTGATACGTCAAATTTTATATCATATACCTACCAACTTTTTTTGGTTGATAGATATTGTTACGATTTTATACCACTATCAAAAAAGTTAACAAATTCATATAAGAACACTCTAATTTAAATACTCTAAGGTGGTGTTTGTTTCGCAAAATGTTTTTGGATGTAATGAAATATGTTAAAAGAATTTGACTTTGAAGGAATTGGAATTGAATGTTGTCAGGTTTAACCATCTGTTTGGTTGACAGACACTGGAATGAAACCTGTTAAGAAATTGGAATCTATCTGTTTGATTCACATAATGTAGCTTTGAACAGGGACGTTCTGATATTTTTGGAGGTCATGTTACATCCAAAACTTTTGATTACATTGCATAAATGAGATAATAAAGAATATATGTTAAGAACAAAAATGAGTTAAACCTAAAACGATTAACAATCTGAAACTAAACCTAAACCATTAATGATTTGAACCTAAAACCAAACAATTGATGGTTTGAACCTAAATAATTTGAGATATAGTTTTACACAGGTCGATGAAAGACCCCAAACACATGTAAATTTGGACCCCAAAATTTCGGGGGGACCTATTCAAAATCTCACATTTAACAGGTTAAGGGACGACCCTGACTTTGAAATTGGAATGAAATATTGGTAAATAACCAAAATGGCTTTTTTGAAACTTTTAATTTTTTTAAAACAAAAAATATTTTAATAAAATAATTGTTTAATATGTCTAACAACATAAAATACTCAACCCAAATATAACCATAAGCCAAACGACGTTACTAGATCAACGATGGTTGGCGGTGGTTCAGATCAGTGGTGGTCCACGGTGGCTCAGATCGGTGGTGGTCCGCAGTGGTTCAGATGGCGGTGGTCGACAGTGGTTCAGATCGATGTTGGTTTGCAATGGTTCAAATCGGCAATGGCGTCGGTGGTTCGGATCGACGATGGTTCAGATTGGCGATGATGGCGGTGGTTCAAATCAGTGGTTGTTCAAGTCGTTGATGGTCAACGGTGTTCGTCGGTGATTCAGATCAGTGGTAGTCGTCGGTGGTTGACAATGGTTCAGATCGGTGGTGCTTCAAGTGGCAGTGGTCGGACGTGGTTTATATCGGGGGTGGTTCAGATCCGCGATGGATCAGATCGGGTGGTCCAGATTGGCGGTGCCCGACGATTGCCGATGGTGATTCAGATCGGTAGTAGTTGCCGGTGTTTCAGATAGATGGTGGTCTGTGGTGGTTTAGATCGATGGTGGTCCATGGTGGTACTCGACGGTGGTTTAAATCGGCGATGCCTGACGATAGTTCATATTAGTAGTGATCGACAGTGGTTCAGATCGGTGGTGGTTCAGATGACGATGGTAGACAGTAGTTCAGATGGTCGTGGTCGATGATGATTCAGATCGACGATGGTCGAAGATGGTCATATTGAGTTTTATGAGATTAAAGTATATTGGGTTAAGGACAACATATTTAATATTATGAAAATAGAGAATTCAATTTCATCAAAATATCATGTGGTTACCAAGGAATGTTGAATTCTTTTATTTGTAGTATTTTAATTCTTTAAAGACCCTTTTCTTAAAAAAACAATGAATCAAACGAAATAATAAAATTTAATCAATGGAATTCAAAATTCCAATTCCACCATATTTCTTTAAAATATGTGAAACAAACACACATAAGGCTTTGCTTTTATCTTGATTCCAATTCCGTAATCACATCCTGGAAGCCTGGAAGGTTTGTGTGCATATCCATCAAGAGCAATTTTTAGCAATACATTTTCATATAATTCAAACAAGTAAAGTTAATTAAAAATGAAAAATCAACCTTGTAAGATAGATTGATTTAGACATAAAACTCGTTTTTTAATAATAAAGTTGAAACGTCACCTCATGATATGCCTAATAGCGGACCCAACATTAATGTCTCAATTAGTCCTTTTGCCACAATCATAAAATGTCTTGTATAACATGTCGATTGTGGATTTTTTTTCGTAAAACACATCACAAATTTGCCAAACCTATCATCTCATGTGCTTTCAGCCTCCCGTAACAACCAAATAACTCAAGCTAAACTTTCCTTCCCAACCCAATTGTCTCCAGTTATAATCCATTTCACGTGATCTAAATGCATAAAGATTGTCCGCATATCTTGTATATACATATCTTTGGTCTCCTGGGGTGAGGTCCCTTCTAACTTGGAAGTACCGTCACAATATATGGATACCTTTGTGATAGAGAGGGATCTTTATCTTGTTATAGGGAAATGTTCTAACATAAGGTAGAATCTAGCATCGAAGAGATTAGTTGACAATGGTCAAAAGATAGGCGCCAAATTCCACTTCAATAGGGGTCTATCAGTGCAAGTCTTTCAATCTGAAACGAAGAAAGAAAGGAAAAAACAAACTAACCGTGTAACACCATCGATTCTGAAAAGAGCGACTAATTTAAAATTTCAAATAATACAACAAATAGATGATAAAATCTTTACTATAAATCAATACTTAAATTAACTAGAATACCAAATTTAGATTTAACATCGACAATTGAAAAACCCAATCTTACATAAAAACTAAGTCAAGGTCGAGTGTTACCAAAACCCAATAAGGGTCCATATCTCCAAATGCCGAAGACGTCATCGAATGGCTATATTATTCGTTCATTTATCTGGTACTCAACTCATCGCAGTGTCGTTAGTACCAAACTCCAACAATGATGACACACCACCAACACACAACTTGATGTCAACTAGATTGCCTATCAATTTCCAACTCAGTTCATGCAAGCAACGCATAAAACTTCAATCCTGAAGATAACAAGACGGTAAAGATTACTACTTAATCAATCATAATAACACGTAACTCTAATACCTCATATCCAAACATGCACCGACTTATCTGGACAAATTTTCGAATTTCAAAATCAACCACAAGTTGAATCATTTGACACCTTAATTCCAAGAACTTTTGTAGTACTCAACGACAAATGCTTTCATAAAAAGGGTTTTAATCTACGGTTCTATTGATTCAAGGTTTTTCAAGTACCTCACGTAACAATTATGGCAATTTACAACTTAGATTTACCGGAATAAAATCTTTATAATGATGACCATTCCAATGATGATCAAATCACAAGTGAGTTGCCTGGTGGGTTTTGTTGCACAACACACACACACACACAATGATTTCTTCTATTTCGAAAACCAAAAAACCAAAAATAAAAATCAGGTTGACGAGTTTTATACAAAATCCTTCTCTCTACTTCGAAAACCAAAAATAAAATTGACCATTACTACTAGTTTTTTCTCACATGCAAGTCGAGGAGGTTTGTTTTAGAGACCAAATCACTTCTCCAACCTCTTTTCTCATCTCGTTCTAGTTTTTTGGTTTAAACTTGAAAACACACAACGAGGCCGGTGGTTAGAAGGTGCTGGTGGAAGAGGAGGGGGTGGGGGTTCGCCAGAAAAAAAACGGAAGGGGCTGGAGAAGGGACATCTTAGGGGACGTTCCGAGAGGGAGGATCAATATGTATTTATATTTATATAAACATATAAAATAAATATATAATATGTAAGACGAAAAATTGGGTGAGAATATGAGTTAAGCTGAGAAGTGTAAGAAGAAGTTTGAACTTTAATCATTTTTTATTTCAAACCAATCTAGTGAAACTTTTCAATTAGGATTATCATAACTCTTATTTTTATTAGAACCCAACCTTAATATATAAATACATTAATTATATTGTTTTTAATAGTTCTAAAAGATAATAAAGAAAAATATTAAAAAGACCAAAACCCCCCTGATGGAAGTTAGTGTTAAGTACTTAAAGTAATACTTTCAGATTTCCTACCAAAACTCAAGGACCATAATTAAAGGTTACTAAGTGGGTCCACTTGGGTACAATGACTAAATTACCCCCATGTTGACAACTAACAACGAGAAAGCCACTTGTAAACCCTAGGTGCTATCACGCGTGTATCACGTGATCTAAAAAAATTCCAGACCGAAGATGCGCCGCATGGTTTCCACTCCTGATACTAACACAAAAGATAAACCGCGTTCGATCATATTAGCCGTCCGATCGAACACCATGTCACTGATCCTTGTCAACCAAGGATTCAACGGTCCAGATCAAACGTTCCGTATGGCTACTCTGAAGAACGAAGAACCTCCTCTATTGTTCTCTCTCTCATCTCCTCGTTCCTCAATCCCGAAACTAATTTTTTAGTTTTGTTTATCGAAGGAAAATTTTCTTCTAATTTCTGGCAAAGATGAAGGTATTGATCGGAGAAGGAGTAGAGTTTGAAGGTGAGAGAGAAATCGAAGAAATTGAAGGAATCGCTATTGATGATACTGAAGAAATTGACGGGGAAGTTGAAGTCGAAGAAGACGACGGTGAAGACGACGACGGGGATGAGGAGGACGATGAAGATGATGATGATGACGTGCAGGAGGTTTTCCAGACCTCAGACGGCGGTCCACCGGCGCAGCCGGTAGAAGACGACGAAGACGATGAAGACGATGAGGAAGAGGATGAAGACGACGACGGTGATGATGACGGTGAAGATAGCGACGACGACGACGATGACGAAGACGGTGAAGATGACGAGGTATAATTTTGTTACTTCAACTTTTTTTCGATTAATTTATCAAACATGAGTAACGTTGAACAATTTTTCCAATGATTTTTCAGTTATTTTTTTTGCTGTGATACGATAAATTTACATTTAATTTCTGGCATATATACTGATTATCTTTGATATGTTTGTATTACCAGATCTTATGATTTCACTTAAAAATGAAAATTTAATTATATTTTGCTGAGTTCTACTCTCGAAATCTCGATTTATCGTCACATTGTTGTTAGCAAATTAGTTTTTGTACTTTATTTTTGTTCAACGAATCCAAAATTTCAAAATCCGATGATTTCTGGCATCAAAAGACCTGCCACAGTTTCCATGCTCTGGTTTCTTCTGTTGTTTTGTGTTGGTACTTGTTTTTTGATATTTTCTTCATGAACACCTCAGATGTGAATTGATGCTGTACTTGTGTTTTTCTGATAAAATTGTTTTAAAATAAAATTGTCTTTTGCTGTGAAATTTTCGATAATGATGCTATGGTTTTTCGTTCAAGATTTAAACGAACCTGATTTTCCTGGATCTAACACTACAGTTCTAGTTTTATATATCGAAAAGACAAACCTATAGCTACCATCAAACTCGATATAATCCGTGTATGTAAAAAACATGTGATGTAATACATCTGTTACTATTCCTTTTAAATGTTGATAAGGAAATATTAGAGATTCAAGTTATTTTGGATGTATTTGTGATATTTTGGTTTTTTTAGTGTTTTTGACTATATGATGAACAATTGCAATTAGGAGGATGCACCAACAGAGTACTTGGTTCGACCGGTGGCTAACCCTGAAGATGAGGAGGAAGCTAGTGATTTTGAGCCAGAAGAGAACGGTGCTGATGAGGATGCTGAATCCGAAGAAGAGGATGAAGATGACGATGATGGTGGAAAGATTGAAGCCCCACCCAAGAGGAAGAGATCCAATAAAGATGACTCAGATGATGACGATGACGATGGTGGTGATGATGATCAGAGACCGTCCAAGAGATAGTGGCTCGAGCCCATTTCCTGGACTTGAATCGTGACCCAAAAACATAGGTCAGTCTCTTTCTTTCTCTAGCATTACATGTTGTCTACATAAATTCTAAACTACCAACAAGTTACAGATAGAAGGACCAGTGTTCTTTACCCTTCATGTAATTTTAATGGTGCTTTTGGATGATAGTATGGCAATGCATTATCGTTAGGTTGATAAATAAGCTACTAAAATCTAGGTCCTTTATAAGGTTGAAGATTTAGAACTTCTGATTCATAGTCTCAATATCTAGGTTTAATTTTTTGTATTTGATCTGTACTCTTGGATAATTTCTGTTGCTTTCTTTACCTTTAACTGTTGTATTATTGATTGTTCATTGGCTTCTCTTTTCGTGTTCTGTTTGTTTTTCCTTCGTATATGCTATGCTTTTTTATTTCTTCTTTTCGTTTGTGTTTCTTGGCCTAAAGGTCAAAAGTATCAGGAGGTCATATCTAAGGAGGAATAAAAATCCTCTTGTGGCCATGAAGGTTCAAATGCGGTGACTCCGGGCTATCTGCAAAACAGATGGTCGCTCTGGGATTAGTCGACTCGTATAGCGGGTTGGATATCCAGGTTAATTAAAAAAAACTACGAAATTGGCTTGGTTTTGTCCGATCATTATGTTTAGGGGTGTTTTTTTTTTTTTT